TCCATATGTCTGCTCTTCTCTTACTCCCACATATTGACATTTTTGAACGTTTTATGCGACGTGCAGCAAGTGTATGTTAGCTTATGTCCCGCCGGTTCATATGAACGCATCTAACCTCCGAACCATGCAGCAGATTCGTTCTGAATTAATCTCTTCCCAAATAGTCCCTCCCTAACATTTTCGTCTCGTTTTTATTCGTTGATGAAAATGTCAAAAGATTTACGTCATAGTTTTTGTCATTCAAAAAGAGTTTTAGTTCGTTATCGTCGGTGAAAAAAACTAACACTGCCCCCACCGACAATCCCTGCCAGACCTGATACTCGAACCTGCAGCCTTTGGGTTGCAAGTCCACCTCTCTATCCATTAGGCCACGACTCCTCCGCTGAACAACACAAAAACTACCTAAACACTGATAAAAATAATCCAAAAACGCATTTGGGTTAAAAAAATAACCCAGGATTTTTTAGAGTGTAGGCCTTCAATATAGAGCTATATAGTTTAATAATGTGCTTCTATTTGCTTGTCCATCTGTTTTTCAGTGTCACGTTCAGGTCAGATTTCTGTCTTCAGCATCCTCAGTTTTCTTCTGGCAGCTTGTCCGTATCTGCTGTCGACAGTCGTGCTGCTGTTCAAATGCTGCAGAGCGAGAGGTAAAACTTCTGTCTGATCTCTCTCCCTCAGCTGTCTTTTTTCACAAACTAAAAAATAAATAAATATTTGTTTCACAGTTCCATCTGCTGAAGACCAAAGCCAGTGCGCAGTGACAGAAGAAACATCAACCTGATATTACAGTTGTTCTGAATTGCTAAAACGCATTTCTTGAAACCATCACTAATTTTCTCAAAACCTTAAACACAAATCCAAATACTCAAACTAAATTCACAAAACCTCTGACTCTTCCATCAAAATCACAGCATCCAGAACATTACGGAAAAAGTATATTGTATTGAGTAAACAATTTTGCAATTCTGTAAAAAAGTATAGTAACTGCAACTGAGTAAGGTGAATATATTATATAGGCCTATGTACTGCAAGTATAGTAGTGTGCTGAATATTGAATAGTACTGAATGTTTGTATATATTCAGCACGTGGATACTGCAAAAAATAATGCAGTCCAACTGCAAAGGGCAAAAAGGTCAAATAAAACTAAATGAATGAATAGCATGTTACAGTACACTCAAATACTGTAAGTTGTGCAATTGTAAAATCAGGGTCAATGAGAGATTGATTCAGTCTCAGCATCATGTCTTTGTGCTTGAGTCGGGCCTGAGTAATGTTCATCACATCACAAGTAATGTTGTCTTTTTTGCTAGACAGAGAAAAACCCTCTGGTCTGACAGATCCAGCCTCGATAACACATTTGTGTTTCACAGTCCCATCTGCTGAAGACCAAAGCCAGTACGCAGTGACAGAAGAAACTTCAACCTGATATTAACACGTTTTTAAAAATGTCTCAACATATTTTATTTACCTTATATCCTTTATTTTTCATTAAACAACTAGTTTATTGTGTTATTCCGCTTTTATATGCTCCTTTTTGTCAAAAAAACAAAAAAAAAGAGAAGGTTCAGTGACATTATTATGACTTTGTGATGTTTGTCTGTTCTTCCAGTAGTGAATACTTGGCAACGACTTCGTTTTGGTCACCGGTTGCCTGTTTTAGATCACTTGTTTAAGTATTTAATTAACAATAGAGATCAAAGTTGTATTCTGTATGAATGAATAACTGTTCAAATTAATGTGTATATTCCAAATTTTATATGCTCCTTTTTGTCAAAAAAACAAAAAAAAGAGAAGGTTCAGTGACATTATGACTTTGTGATGTTTGTCTGTTCTTCCAGTAGTGAATACTTGGCAACGACTTCGTTTTGGTCACCGGTTGCCTGTTTTAGATCACTTGTTTAAGTATTTAATTAACAATAGAGATCAAAGTTGTATTCTGTATGAATGAATAACTGTTCAAATTAATGTGTATATTCCAAAAACTGTAACATTATGAGTAAATAAACATCTTGGTTTGTCTCGCATGTGTATCATTGTTTGTAATTGATCTAATCCAAAAACAATGTCACGATGTCTTAAATATTGAAAAGCAATTGAAAGTGAAGATCACCATGGTTCCTTAAGATTTCAAGAGAACAGACCACCGCTGACAACAAATAATCAAACAACTTAAATCATGGAACTCCTACTTTTTTTATATACAAGACAAGTAACTTTTATACGTTATTGTTATTCATTTGGTTACTCCAAAAACTTGTTGGCTAATAATAAAATTAAAAAGGCCCCTCAAGTTCTCCACTCAGAGAAATGGCCTCTTACCACTTATAAATCTTCTCGAAAACGGTCCATGTGTTGTTGAAATTGTAGATGCATAAACCCTGTGCTGACGAAAAAAGTAACACTTTAAGATTAAACCTATTACTTTCTTCGCTGTATGCAACACATTAACCTTTTGTTTTTTTTGTTTATAATTTTGTCCTAAAATTACTAAATTATCTAGCTTAAATAAAAACTGTTTTCAAAGAACATGGCAATTTCGATGAATGGCTCTCTCAAAGACAGCATGGGTGGCTCTTAAAAGAGCCTTTGTGTTCGCTGCTCAGATCAGACGAGCTCTACTTGGAGCTGGTGTATTTGGTGACGGCCTTGGTGCCCTCAGACACGGCGTGCTTGGCCAGCTCCCCGGGCAGCAGCAGACGCACGGCGGTCTGGATCTCTCGGGAAGTGATGGTGGAGCGCTTGTTGTAGTGAGCGAGACGAGACGACTCACCGGCGATGCGCTCGAAGATGTCGTTGACGAAAGAGTTCATGATGCCCATCGCCTTGGAGGAGATCCCGGTGTCAGGATGAACCTGCTTCAGCACTTTGTACACGTAGATAGCGTAGCTCTCCTTCCTGGATCTCCTGCGCTTCTTTCCTGCTTTACCCGCGGTCTTAGCGACGGACTTCTTGGAGCCCTTCTTGGGCGCGGACTTCGCTGCTTCAGGCATTATATTAACTTCAGAAATACTTAAACTGTAATAAGCTTCGCTAGAACACACAGGTTTTATGCACTGCTCTATGCTAATTTTGAAAGAGAAAACGGCGGTCTGTGATTGCGTGTCTCCATTGACCAACCCACAGTTTAAAACTATAAAACGGGCACAAAACGTTTATTACATTATAGTGATGGGAAGTTCGGTTCTTTTCCGCGAACCGGTTCTTTCGGACAGTTCGATTCAATAAACCGGTTGAAAAAACCGGTTCACCGGTTATTTTACGCTCGACGTAATGACGTAATTGGCGATGACGTAATGGCGTTAAGTCTATCGCGGGCTTAACACATTCAAATATAAAGTCAGTAATCATAACATCAGTCAATTAAAACATCATTATAATCTGATACGTGATGATATGTTACGTGTGGATCAGATACAGAGTTTCAGAGAACATGCATTTATCTGTGCTGCTTGTGAAAGATGGAGGACATGTGCTTTTGCTTGGTTTTGTTGAAATACTTGTTCTTATTTCATGTAGTTCAGTTAAATCAGATGTATTTGTGTTAATATGAGTTTGGTGTTTTATGATATTGTATCTTTTAATAGACTCTCCATCAGAGGTTCAGAGAGTTTGAGAACAGTGACCAAACACAAGTTACTCTATCACTTTTCATTCTTTCTGCCCCTCTTCTTGAAAATGAATTGTCCTCCATACTAACTAACTTCTGTTTTCTGAGACACTTTTTTACTTATTTTTAACCAGTTTGTCTCGATGTCATTTTTAGCGGATGTGCGAAGTCAGTTCTCCTCACATTCTCAGCAGAAAAACCACAGCTGTAGTTCATCATTAACATATGAACATGTTCCTAACGCTTGACAGTCAGAAAGAGTGTTTGGTCTTCGTTTTGAACAACATATTTATTGTTTCTTAATATACCTAATATACATACTCGCAGCTGATTCGCTTTCTGGTTCACTTTAACTGAACTGAGTTTGGTTCATTTAAAATATACTTCATGTGAAAACACCCTAAGTGTTCAAATTATTTTCATGGCCACCACTAACAGAGCCAGAAAAGGGACTCTGGGTGTGCATCAGAAAAACTGGGTGTGTCACATTTATTGTCAGATTAATGTGCAAAAAAAACCCTGACTTTGTGTATCACTAACGTTACAGAATAGACTGATGTGTAAAACTATACTCCGGCTCTCCACATAACCATAAAACTATATAAAATATAACTCCATTACACTCTGGATCGCCAACAACATAGTCACTAGCTTTAATAGTGCCTACTGCCTATGGATGAATGAAAATGTGAACTTAGAGAGCGTGAGCTGCTTTCTGTGCTTGAATTTGTGCTTCAATAAACGCTAGAAGTTACAATTTTAAAAATCTGTTTTTTTTTTTTTGTTTTTTTTTAACATTAGCTTACAATAGTGAAAGACTTCTTCCCTCAGGTAGATTGCATATTTTATATTTTATGATGTTGTGCATGTGCTCATGGTCAATAATCACGTTTCAATCGCGAGGCGGGGGCGGGGGGTGGTGGTTGGGGTGGTGGATGACAAGTTATGAATGAATGAAACGCCTTTGTCCGCTTGAGAAACGGTGTCTCTTCCGCGGCTCGGTACGCTTTCAACTCGTTTTTTTTTTGTCCCAT